GAGAGAGAGAGAGAGAGAGAGAGAGAGAGAGAGAGAGAGAGAGAGAGAGAGAGAGAGAGAGAGAGAGAGAGGAATGGCATTTCAAATGGGAACGTATCCTCGACAAGGCCATGGTGCATGGGTATACACACAGTTTGGACGTCCCAAATTGTGGGCATACGGACAATGTGGAGGGGCGCACACACGGGCCCGAGGCCCCAGCTATGTGGACAATCTGTTACGTGCAAGAGTAGGGTATATTGACATTTGGAGGGGGTCCGAGGGGCCCCTTTGGCACAAATGAGAAGTTGGCCTCGTGGCAGGGTACAACGTGAACGACGAATGACAAGTGAGGTACAACGACAATTTTCCCTTTCCGGAAAACTTTTAAGGCAAAAAAAAAAGAAACAACCCCCCATGAATTAAATTAAAGATTGTATGACCATCAGGACAGCAGCAGTGATGCTGATAACACTGTAATTTTTAGTATTTTTAAATTTTTACTAATTTTTTTGTATTGTTTTACTAATTTATTATTTATCTGGTTTCTTTATGATCTCATCTGTGACTTGTCTGCTTGCCAGTTTTTTGTAAAACAGCTAGCAATTGAACACTCTTTTTCTTTTTTTTTTTCCTTTTTTTTTCTAGCAGTTGAACATTTGATGTATTTCGGCGCACAAAGAAGGCGCTCCCAACGGAAACAAAAGCGAAACAATACCTTTCTCGGCCTTTTGGCTAAGATCAAGTGTAGTATCTGTTTGATCGAAGGAGGGCACTACATGAGGACGCAGCGCGACCGGGAGCGCTGCGCCCGGCTGTTCTCGCCGGTGGGTGATGGAGAAACAGGCAAGTGCGGACGGTGCATGGCGGATGGGTGACGGGAGTATCGGTGGGTGGAGATGCGCGAAGGAAGAGGATGCGGCGCGCGGCAATGGAGGGCGATGGGGAATAGCAGTAAACGGAGAGGTGCGATGGAAACAAATACGGATAGGGCATGTGACGGGTGGGGATGGAGTATACGTTGCAGGACGGGGGCGGGGGCTGGGGGGGTGTGGATGGTTGGCCAAGTTTCGATGCTATGCCGTGAAGATGTTGAGATTTCACCATCGCCGAGAGGTGCTGCATGGAATAAGGCAAAGATGTGGAGAGTTCGTTATCGCCTGCTACTTCGCCTCGCTGTGGGGGTCGTTATCAACCGCCGGGCAATCGTGAATGTTTTGGACACTCGTGAATGTTTTTCTTGATGATACGGGATTTGGGCGAAATTTCGAGAGGGGCAACTGATTGATGTTGGTAATGAGGTTTTCTCTTCCCTTTTTCTTCAACAAGGTAAGTGGGTATGGACGGATGCTTGAACCCCCTGTGGCGCCTTGCTAACGGGTTTGGTGAGGTGGAGTCACACCATTATCCTGTTTTTCTTTCGGGAAACGGAAGATGGCCGTTAAAGTCTTCGGTACTAGCGTTGCGCAGAGCCTGTGTGCTAGTAATGGGAGGTGGTTCTCCTACCCCGTGGATGCTGGGGTAGGGTTTGAGGGGGCTGTGGTACGTTGGGGTGTGTTGAAGAAAAAGGGAGAGGGATTATCGGGCGCATCGTTGCTCTTATCGTTATGTTTTGGAGTAGTCCGGTGGAAGAGTTTGCTTGAGAAGATGATAATACTGATCTGGTTTCTCACGATTAATTGCGTAATGTTCATTTCCCCATGGTTATAAAAGTTCTAATTAGGGTAGCTGATGGTACATCCCATGGATAATTTGTATGTCTGCTGTCTAGTTTGATTGTCGTTTTGGTTTTCCTGATTCGTATGTTTGCTGTGCAGTTTGATCTTTGATTTGGTCTTCCTGCTTTGTAAATTTCTGATTTCTGATTCACGGTCTGAGTGACTTCTTAAAACTTTCATCCTCATGATTTACGGTCTGTGTGATTTCCTGAACCCCGGGTTCGGGAAATCAGAGTTGGAAGTCCGAATGGACATCAGAATTGGTTTTTCTATTGTGCTTATCTACTTGGATTTTCAAATCGTATACTCGGCCTGACTCTGGATTTTCAAAGCCAATTGATTGTATTTTCGGTCTGAGCAATCTGCTCATTAGTGTTTACCGGTAATAAGTCTTAGTGATCTCTCGAATTCCATCTTCTTTGTATTGATGGATTTTCTTATCACGCTGCTATTCAGTTTCGAGTCGATTTGTTCAGAAGGCTTAGGGGGGACTGGATCTGCTATGTTGTTGGATGGTCGGTTTTGGCTGGTAGGTCAGGAGGATTTTGCTGGGACGACTCAGGCCGGTGCTGGAGTTGAGGCTCTGTAACCTGGGTAGGAGCTTGAGGCCTGGGAAGTTATGCTTGTTTGTGTGGCATAACCAGTGGGTTCGACGAAGTCATTGCCGGGGGTGTTCCCCTGTAACTGTGGGGCTTTATGACTTTTGAGGAGTGGTCGAGGGCGGAAGACACTTCTTGCCGTGAGAAAACAAGGTGGATCGGTTCTGGGGTAGCGGTGGCGCCCTGTCACCCTAGCACGAGGGGGTTTGAGATCCGCCGCGTTTTTGAACGAGGACTGACGGCCTCCACCTTCCCTTCTTTTGCCTAGCAGGTCCCAGTCTTTCTTGATTGTTTGCCCTTGTATCCCTTTTCTTTTGCTTCTGAATATTTTCTGAATACGGTCATAGGCAGTTGCTAAATTCTTAGAATTTCTTAGAACTTTCAAAAAAAAAAAAAAACGTTGCAATCTGTTTTTAAAAAAGGGGAGCGGGCCATACGCGGATGGCTGTTTTGTCTAAAAATGTCTTCTGGACTCTGGGGATTCCTGATAAACTCTTTTTTAGGTAGTTTTGAGGCTGTTCTACTCGGTGACCTGCGGCTGTTCGATGCCAGAACGACGCTGGCCGGTGCTGGGGGGTTGCCTTGTAACCTGCTGATGCAGGAGCATGAGGCCTTGTAGAGAGATCTGGGGGTGCTTTGGAGTGGGCACTCCATGGGACACCCAAGGGTTGCTGCTGGGACGACGCTGGCCGGAGCTGGGGTGAGTTGTGTTGCCCTGTAACCCAGCAGGATGAGGGGGTGTGAGGCCTGGAAGAGCTCGGCAGGGAGTAAGACAGTGTTGGAGAACTAGGGAAGGTTTTGTCAGGGATTTCGTGGGTCTTGGGGCATTAGTAGGACCTCTGCAGTCTGTTCCCATACCTCCTGAATTACTATAAGTTTTCTCAGAGGGTTTTCAGCCAAAGCTGGGTAATGGCCCCGGTACTGCAAGAAAGGGATTGAGGTGAGTGAGGGAAAGATACCACGCGTCCTACTAGTGAAGGGGCTAGCTGGTAGGACGGAAATAGGGCATAGCAGCAGCGGAGATGGTGGCTTTGCTGCAGTAAGTCTTGCCGGAGTGAGGTAAAGAGGATTGATGGTGGGGTCCCAAAAAAAGGGTGGTGGCTTCAGCTCTGATTTTCGTTTCCCTAATTTTCTTTTTCTTATTTTTTCTTGAAATTTTCTTGAATTTCTCAGAAAAGGGGTGAGTGGGATAAGTAGATGGTTGGATATCAAGCGTCCTATTAGTGAGGGGGTTAGCTCGTAGGATGGAAATAGGGTATAGCAGCAGTGAAGATGGTGGCTCCGCTGTAGTAAGTCTTGCCGGAGGGAGGTAAAGAGGATTGAAGGGAGGTTTCTGAGTTGTTTTCTGAAGTTTGCCTATTTCTGTACAAAAATGGTAATGACACAAGAAGAGAATAAGGAGAGTGGGAGAAGATGGTGGGTTACCACGCGTCCTTACCAGTGAGGGGGATAGCTGGTAGGATGGGAGTATGATATAGCAGCAGCAGAGATGGTGGCTCCGCTGCAGTCAGTCTTGCAGGAGGGAGGTGAAGTGGATTGATGGGGGTCCTTCTGGGTCGTTTCTGAATCATGAAGTTGTCATAGACATTCTCTGAGCCAAAGCCGGGTAATGGCCCCGGTATCTCAATTTTCAAATTTCTATTCTTAGGCTAATTGGATTTTTCTAGTAGGTTCCTAGTCTCATTTTCAGGAAATTTTCTGACGATTTCTCGGAATGTACTCGTTATGGGACGCTGGGCCGGGTTCCCAGTTCGTGCCACTTTGTGAGGATATGGTTGTATCTATGGGACGCTGGCCACGGTTTCCAGCAGGTTCACACTCGATGTGCGCGTCACGGGAATTCAATTGCAGAGCCAAGAGTATGGGCATTCCATGCGGAGAGGTGGTTATATACATGTACCTGGTCCAGTTTATAGTCAAGAATCAAGCTGCGAAGGAAAAAAAAAGGTTTGCCAGCAATAATTTTGGAGATCTCTGGAGGCTTGCGGGAGCCTCGGTGGACCCCCCTTGAATGATTGGGGAGGCCTTGGTGGATCTCTTTAGAGGCTTGGGGAAGCCATGAATGGACAGGTTGTTGAGGCTCTCAGTTAATGTGAGCAGGGTTGGTCCAGGCTCGGGAAAGCGTTTGGTCACAGTGGGCCCAGCGGGTGCTTTGGGAAAGCATGGCAGAGCTGGTACTACTAGAAG